TTTAAAGATATGTGATACAATTCAGAAGTATGTAAACGAGTGGACATCAAACAGGTAAAGTCTGGGCCTCCCTTTGGTCCCCACTTTGCCTGGTTTGAGATCAGGTACTTTTATTGATGTTGTAACCCCCAATACCCCAACAGTATCTCACTATCGCCAATCCCCTCCCTTTAGTATTATAGTAAATGTTCAGGATCTGCTTATAAGTGACAACATGTGGTACTCTGTTCTTTGTTTCTGTGCTAGATCACTGAGTATTATAGACTCTAAATCCAACCAAGTTGCTGTGAAGTCCACATGTTTGTCCTTCTTTATGGCTGCATAATATTTCATCGTGTATAGATATATATCACTTTTTTTTTTATCCAGTTCAGTTTCAGTGGACAGCACAGTTGGTTCTATGTTTTTGCTATTGTGAATAGTCCTGCAATAAACATGTGTGTGCAGGTGTCTTTTATGTAGAATGATTTGAGTTCCTATGGATATATTCCAGTAGGGAGATTGCTGGGTCATATGGAAGGAAGATCAATGTCTAGTCCTTTTAGAAATCATCACACTGTTTTCCTTAGAGGTTGAACTAGTTTGCATTCCCACCAGCAGTGTAGAAGCATTCCCTTTTCTCCACACCCTTGCCAGCATCTGTTGTTGTTTGTTTTATTAATGATGGCCATTCTTACTGGAGTCAGGTATTTCAATATGATTTTGATTTGCATTTCTCTGATGATTAGTGAGGCTGAGCATTTTTTCATGTGTCTTCTGGCTGCCCGTTTATCTTCTTTTGAGACGTGTCTATTCATGTCTTTGCCCACTTTTTAAAGTGGCTGTTTGTTTTTTTCCTTTCAGCACGTTTGAGTTCCTTGTGGATCCTGGATGTTAGGCCTTTGTCAGATAATTGGCAAATATTTTTTCCCATTCTGTGAGCTGTCTCCCCACTCTCTTGATGATTTCCTTTACTTTGCAGTTTAATGAGGTCCCACTAGTCTACCTTATCTCACGGTATAGACATCTGGAGTTTTGATCAGGAATTGGTTGCCTACTCTGATTTCTATAATGATGTCTCCTATGTTTTCTAAGATTCTTACAGTTTGTGGTTTTACATTTAGGTCTTTGATCCATTTAGAGCTGATTTTTGTGTATGGTGATGGGTAGGGGCCCTGTTTCGTTCTTTCTGCATGTGGTCAGCCAGTTTTCCTAGCACCATTTACTGAATAGGTTCTCCTCTCCCCAGTGGTTGTTGGTGGAGGCTTTGTCGAAGATGAATTGATTGAGAAACTGAGGTTTTTTATCTGGAATCTCTATCCTGTTCCATTGGTCCATATATCTGTTCTTGCATCAGTACCAGGCTGTTTTGATTATGGCCTTATAGTAAAGTTTAAAGTCTGGAAGTGTGGTACCTCCCACTTTGTTTATTTTGCTAAGGATTGTTTTGGCTATTTGTGGTTATTTATGTTTCCATATGAATTTCTGTATTGTTGTTTCCAGGTCTGTATTGTTGTTTCCAGGTCTGAGAAGAATGATAATGGTAATTCAATGGGCATTGCGCTAAATCTGCAGATTGCCTCTGGTAAGATGGACATCTTAACAATGTTGATTCTTCCTAGCCATGAGCATGACATATTTTTCCATTTGTTTGTGTCTTTTTGAATTTCTTTGATCAGTGCTTTGTAGTTTTCATTGTAAAGGTCTTTTACTTCTCTGGTTAGAAAGATGTCAAGGTATTTCAATTTTTTTTTTTTTTTTAGTGGCTACTGTGAAAGCGATTGTGCTTTTTATTTGATTCTGTATCTGTTTTTTGTTTGGTTTAAAATGCAGCCATCTTTTGCACATGTATTTTGTACCCCAAGACTTTGCCAAAGTCCTTTATCAGTACAAGGAGTGCAAGGAGGTTTTTGACAGATTCTCTTAGATTTTCAACGTATAGGATCATATCGTCAGCACAGAGGGATAACTTAATTCCTCTTTTCCTATTTGTATACCTCTGAAGGTAATATTTTTTAAAAGGAGTTAAAAGCAACAACTGAATGCAACAGTTCAATATACTTCTCTATTAGGAAGGGAAAGAAGGTATAATTAGTCCCACTTTACAAATAAGTGAACAACTAACAATCAAACAATTGATTTGCCAAGGTCACAGAGCTAAGAAGTAATAAATCCCTGTCTTTCAACAAGAACCTTCTGATTCCAAATCTATGCTCCTTCCACACTGTATCAGTCAACAATGAGTAAAAATGAATTTACTCTTTGGTGTGTACTGTTCAAGATAGTCATGGTTATTCTCAGTGTGTCCAGCTACCTAACTAGACTGCTCAGTCCTTCCCTAGACTCAACCCCTGGCCTACGCAAGAGACAAGCTAAAGCACAAGACCAAAAGAGGATAGTGAGAGGGAGAAGACAGCAGCACAGTCAGCAAGTCCATGTGAAGAGGGTCAATGATGAAGCCAGGAGAGATGTTTACGTGCACATCTAAGAGGAAAGCAGGGGCAAGGCAACATTCAGCGGTCCAGTCAGGTCAGGAAGACTGACAGAAGGTCCCTGTCACGGCTTCCATGCCCTGTGCAAAAGGTAAGACTCCATCACTGGGAAGCCTGACTAGGGCCAAAGCAGGCCTTAATCCAACACTAGACAGGTTATTAGAGTAGTGACTCTTTTACTTGTTCAATAAAAAATGTATTAAAATGCACACTATGTGCCAGAAAACATGTCAGGTACTAGAAGCATTACTAACACATTGCTTCTGCATTCAAAAGGTTTAAACCGGTGAAAGAGGCGGACAATAAATGATGTAGTGATCAAAATTTCACTAGACATCATGGTGAAAACCCAAAAGTTTTAGCCTTACCAAGACCAGTTAAAAGGATGAGGGGAGAGGTGAGAGGAATGGGAGCAAAACAGAAAAAGAATTAAGAAATTCCTCATTGGGGAACCCAATTATTCACAGAAGATAGAGTAAGATAACTTCTGAAATGGTCTGTGGAAGTCACATAATGGCTGTTTCTAAACCTTAGGGTAAAGATTGTGGGTATGCAAAGATACCCATGCTTGAGTGAAAGAGGAAAAACTATGCAAAGTCCATAAAATATGAATAAACCCCAAAAACATCATCAAACAGAATACTGCCCTGAAGTAAAAATGAATGAAGTAGTGACACATGCAACAATGTGGATGAACCTCAGAAATATTATGCGAAGTGAAAGAAGTCAGTAACAAAAGACCATATATTGTATGAGTCCATTTACATGAAATATCCAGGATAGGAAAATCTACAGAGACAGAAAGTAGACTGATTGTTGCCTACGGCTGAGGAAGCTGAGGAAAAATGGAGGGGGACTATTTGTGAATATGAGGTTTCTTTTAAGGGTTATGAAAATGTTCTAAAATCGACTGCAGTGATGATTGTACAATTTTTATTAACATACTAAAACTCACTGAATTATATACTTTTAATGGGTGAACTGTATGCTGTGTAAATTACATATCAAATCTGTTACAAATATATCATTGCATATTCTCATAAAAATTCAAACACAAAAATTACAGACGATTTGATTATCAGCCTGAAGAAGTCATTTGCAGGATAGGTTAAGTCAACAGTTAATCTATGAGATTTGGAACTATGTGGAACAAGACGATAGCTATGGCTGTACCAGGTGCCAGCTGGACACACTTGGGTGAGCTACGTAACCTGTCAGAGCCTCAAAGTTGCCACCTCTTTAAAAAAAAGGCAACATCTACCTTGCAAGGTGAGAAACAACTTATGTAATCTATAAGTGGTCCATATCACTATAGTTTTCTAAGTATTCGTATATGAAAAGTAAATGTTACCCAAAATTTTACACAAATATCCTATTCTTAGATACTATTCACAGAATATTCTAATTCAATTTTTTAAATTATTCATTACAAGACTTATGTTTCATTCATCTTGGCATATCTACCTTACACAATGCCTAAAGAGTCCTTTGGAAGTCAGAGGTGCTAAACATTTTTTGAGTGCTTGCTATGTTCTAGGCACTCTGTTTCATGCTTGGTATATGGTAAATTTGAATTTAAAATCTGGTCAATGGAGTGCCATGCTTTTTCCTCTATAACAAGCTTACATGTTTTTGACGTAATTGTTTATTTGGTTTTGCTGTTCTTCCTATTGTTAATTTTACCATTAACCACAAATTACATTAAAAAATAATTTCTCTGGCCAGGTGTGGTGGCTCAAGCCTGTAATCCCAGCACTTTGGGAGGCCAAGGTGAAAGGATTGCCTGAGTCCATGGGTTCCAGAACATCCTGAGCAACTTGGCAAGACCTCATTTCTACAATAAATCAAAAAACAAAATTAGCCGGGTATGATAGCATACGTCTGTAGTTCCAGGTTCCTGGAAGGCTTAGGCGGAAGAGTCTCCGGAGCCCAGCAGGTTGACACCAGGGTGGCCATGAGCATACCATTGTACTCCAGGCTGGGTGACGGAGTGAGACTCCAACTCAAAAAAAAAAAATTCTCTGAAAAACTTGACTATTCAAGAATCTGTAACAGTGCTAAGAAGCCTGTTATTTTCAACATGAAGAACATATCGTGAGACATGCTTGGTTCTCTCATTTTTAAGCAAAATTTACTTAAAATCTATACATGATGTTTCTGTCTGGTTTACTTTTAGCAACTGTATATTTCTAAAAAGCTGACATGTCTGTGGCTATTGTTTCTACCTCTTTTTAAAATGTGCAATTCATTCCTAAAGAATGAAAATTGATTTGAATAATTCAAAGTTGACTAACAATTTGAAATTAAACAAATTTTTAAATTAATATATCCACTATTGACTTTTACAACTTAAAAGCAAAGATTTAGTGCATTTTACCAGTTTGGCCTCTTATTTTAGCAATATAAGAACAGTACATTTTCAATACATGTGGCTTTTAGCAACTTCAAAGGTGTTAGCAAAGCACACACCATCAACATTACATGGTTAGTTAAAATTCATAACAAAGGAAACGTAGAGAATAATCTTACCATATCATCCGTCAGTGTCTTAATATTTAAATGCTGCAAATGAAAAAAACCAATCATGTCAGTAATTTCTAGTAGCTTTTTTAAATTTTAGTTAATAGGGTACATTCAAAACTCTACAATGCTAATTTGAATGTAATTAAATTCCTGACAGTCTAATAAAAATGCATTATATATTGTTTTAATTTCTTTCTCAAAAAGATGGACAAAAGTTACCCAGCACGCAGTACTTTCATATGTTCACTGAAATTTCTTGCCTCTGTAAACCTCACAAACTAGAAACCTGACTGTGATACAATAAACATATTCTTCCAATTAATAGTGTTAATTACTATTAAGTCTATAAGTTCAAAGCACAATGGATATTTAAAAATTTAAATATAATCTTCAGAAAATTTTTCATATAAAACAGTGAAACTTTAAATTTGCCATTAGTATGCACCATAACAGATAATAAAGTACTTTGTTGGCTTAATTAACTTAACCAATTCTAGTAACGAAGAGGAATATACTAGAATAACTATTTGCATCTTTAACATCAGTTTTTTATCACCAGTGGTGACAGTAGACACTTTTCAATTTCATTGCTAGCTTCGAGAACCCTTTTGCTGATTTCCTTGCTAGACAAACATAAGACCACTTTAGAAAGTGAATAAATTAGTTTCCTGCAAAGTGCAATCTAAAAGAAAAAAAACAATTATTTAGAAAAAAAAAACACAGAAATCTAAGTTTTATAAATCTCTGAGTCGGACAAGATGTTATATTCAAATAGCTGGAATGGAATCAATTATCAATTCTCCTATCTCTAATTCATTGGAGTATTAGATCTTTAAAAGGTCAGAAAAAAAGCCATGCACATTTTCTAAATAGAAAATCAGATCTATTATTTTAAGTATAAAAAAAACAGGTGTTAACAGTCATCATCTAACAGAGTAAGTGGTACATAGTAAAATTCAACATTTATTTAATGTAATGAAATTTAGCATTCATGTTTATATACTCAAGTACACCTTCATGCTACACCTTCATGCTCATGAATCTACCTCAGTGATGATCCAGATTAAAAATCTGTACAATGTAAAACACTGCCCCAGATTTTCTTCCCCCTTTCTTTCACCAAGATATTCCTCCTAGTGCAAAGGGGGAAATGGTAACTGGAAGACTCTAAAACGAACTTTGTATAAACGAAAAAAAATGTAACCAAATGACCATTAGCCATACCACTAGGTTTCAGACTGAACTGCCTGTTGAGTTAGAACTACCTACTTTGATCAGGAATAAAGAAGTAATAACAGTAGATTAACTAAGGGTGTCTAACACTTGGTTAGCGAATTTGCTTTTTATTGATACTATCTTCAGCCTTTGAAATTAATAACTATGCATAGTGGTGCTTAAGAGCGGGAATGATCCTGACCAGGGCTGTAAAGTTTCCAAGACGCTTAGGGCCAGAGTGTCACCCCAGGCACAATTACTAGAATTAAACCCTAAACTACAGGGCTCTCATGTTTGCAGAGAAAGGAGCTAAGGAAATGCCCATGTGGAGCTTCCTTCCTCTGACTGCTGGCTGTATGAGTACCTTCATGCCAGTAGAGGTTTCCAGCTCATTGCACTTAGTTAGACATAGCTCACTCTTAGTTCTTCTACAATCAGAGGTTACCACCCCAGTCACAACTCGTATCACTCTTGAAAGGCATCATTTCAAGTTACTGTGACAAGAAGAATAATGTAGTCAACTTCTGACAAAATTGCATGCCAAGTGGCCTAATGCTTCAAAAGTAAAACATAAGTAATCAAGTATAAAGCTGGGCGACAGAGTGAAACTCCAACTCAAAAAAAAAAGCTGAAAAACTCCTGTGTGAAATAGTATACAACAATAAAGAGAAAACACTTACTTACACAAAGAAATATTCCCACAGACCAGTTTGAGTTACCTCAGGAAAATGCCACTGAAGTAATATATATATATAAATTATATTATATAAATATAATATATAGACAAAGAAAATAGACAATTAAGAGAAATAAGACTAAGACTCATGCAAGATTTATAATCTAAAAACTGCATAAAAGATAAAGAAAGTAAAAGTACTAGATAAAAAATAGAAAATGTAAGTTACATGATGCAAAATTCAGGCAATATAAACAAAAGAAGCATTTGTATGTACCCTCAACGGCCTAAAATTAGACAGTCTTTTAAATTAGAGTTGAAATAACAACTTTCAGGAAATAGAACAGTCACTCCTATAAAGACAAAGCAACAGAAGAATGCACTTTTGGTCATAGGTTTGGTTTGTTTTTTTTTTAATATTTTTAAACGATATCACTGAAGGTCTAGCTTTTAAAAAGATTCAGGCCAGGTGCAGTGGCTGAAGCCTGTAATCCCAGCACTTTGGGAGGCCAAGGCGAAGGTTTGCCTTAGCCTAGGGGTTCGAGATCAGCCTGGGCAATTTGGTGAGCAATTTGGTGAGACCTCATCTCTACAATAAATAATAAAAATAATAAATAAATAAATAAAAATAAACAAATAAATAAATAAGCCAGGTGTGGTAGCACGCGCCTGTAGGGCTGAGGCAGAAGGATCGGCCAGTAGGTCGAGGGTGTCACTGCTCTCCAGCCTGGGCGACACAGTGAGACTCCAACTCGAAAAGAAAAAGAGAAAAAAGGATTCAGTTCTTAAAGTCTTCACCTATTTTTTAAAACTATATAGGCATGTACATAAGCCCAGTTACAACCTCTTATTGTTATACAGTATCCTTCACAAAAAACATTTGATGAATCAGCACAGAATCATAATGCAGGAAGAAATAAGAAAACTCAAAGGGATGTAGATGTGGAGAGGGTAACAGAGTCTGAGACAAGAAAGAAATTAAGGTCACGTTCATTATTCCTTCTCTTCTGGAGAATTCTTACCTATCAATTTTTACCATTAGCAAGAGAAGCCAGTAAGGCAGGAAATGACAGTAAATTCAAGGGCCCAGACAGGACTGAAAATATTGACTAACAGAGTAAGATGCTAGAAAACTGATCTGAGAATTTTGCTTCCATATCCAAACAATAAAGTCAGAACAGGTTTCATTTCAGAGACTACATAGTTATTTGTCTATACACATGCAATCTTAAAGCAACTGCTAAAGACAATCCTAAAAACAACTGCTAAAGACAGGCTAGCATTAAAAATCTGAACAGGTCTAAGCACTAGTAATTTCCCCTAAAAACTGGAATGTCCAGTCATAGTCTACTTCAAAGAAGAATTTAGGAAAAATTTTTTAAAAACACTAAATACTTACTGAAAAAATGGAAAAACTATATAAAGTGGTACACTTTTGTATGTCTGAATTTTAAAATTAAATCCAAGTTAATCATTTAAAGGTTTATTCTCTCAAAGCCCTGCCTATTTGGCTTATAAATGTACAAAATAAATACTATCTATGAAGTTGAAATTGCTGAAAGGAAGAGAGGGAGAAAAGAAAAGAACATAACAGATAAAATCCTCAGATAATTCTGTGGGGTTTTAGCTTTTCTTTTGTAGATACAAAACTATAAGGGCAACATCTTTAATTAAAGTAAGAAAAAACTTTGTAACACAAAACTATTACTTTTACACTGGTATCTGAGGTACTGTTTAAATGTCTGGTTAACTAAGACACTTAAAATATGAAGTGCTTGTGTTTTATAGCCACTGGCAATGCTCTTTACTATCTTTAGTCCAGGAAAATAAGAACTGTACACATCAATCCAGTTCATGAGTAGCCTTTGAGGACACCCACTCCAAGAAGGAAATAGAAACATAAAGTCGACTATTAAATGGAAACAACCAGGAACGCCTTTAAAAATAATAATAACCTGATAGCAACTTTTTAGGGTCACATTTATCCCCCTAAAAAGGTTAAAAGCATACAGTTTTATTAAGACTTTCACACCTAAATGTGACTTTGTGACCTTTAGTTATATTATCTGCCCTACAAATCTACAGATGTTATTAATGCTGCATGGCAGTGAAATAAAATAAAACTGGTGACAACGTTAAAATATAAACAGTTCTGTCCACAGGACCACTGGTAATGAGTTAAGGTATGGTATTCCAGTTTCCTAAGCCAAAAACTCACCCTTCTTCCTGTGAACCTATGCTTCTCAACTTACTAATTCTATTTTCTTCCTAAAAAGTAAGGAGCACCACATATAGATGGGTAACAATGTTTTCTGCTAATGACAGTTCCTAGGATGAATGGTCAAGAGGGTCACTCTGGAATTGAAAAAGAGAAGCCTTTACAGATTTTTCTTCAAAAGAACATAGGATTCAGGGGGAAAAAAGTAGAAACACAGAACACAGGTCTCTACATTCCCATTTAAGCAACGCATCAGAACTTTTATTGAAGTAGTGCATGCTGTAAAAAAATAGATTTAGAGCTTTCAGAGCACTGTGCTTATGCTATGAATATCAAGAGATATATGACAGTTCACCCATTAATTTAGTTGACAAGCAACAATTTAGTTTACAAGCAACAAAAAAACCAGATCAATTATAATAGATAAAGCAACATGCAAGCCCCTGAAGTTCACACGTAATGAAAAGATTCCAAGCTGTAGCCTAAGACTTCTAACATATCTCATGTTTTCTTTCACTGGTTAGCATATCTAAACTAGCAGACCAGTGAAACAAAGGATCTGTCCATGCATATTATTAGGCACATAACAGTTACCAGGCTTAGATCAACTTGTCATTATCATCAGAGCCAAATATATGATAATATTTTTAAATAATCTTCAGTTGACATAATTTAATTCCATTAAATTTACATCATTTGACTGGGTCACTATGGGGATTACCAACAAGGGGGAAACATGTAACATTAAAGCCTCCAAGCATACTTGACTCAATTTTTATAAACTAGACCCTATAGACTAGCTGGTTTTCAGCTTTTTGGTGCACACAAGAATCACACCAAGACTTTTTTGAAAAAAATAAGACTACAGGGCCTGAGCCTTCCAAGACTCTAATTCAGTAGGTCTCAGGTGGGACTTGGGAACCCACATGC